GTCCTTTGTTAATATTAGGGTAGTGGGAGGGAAAAAATTATATGTATGTATAGATAGATAGATAGAGGGCACAGGGTGAGTTGAAGATGAAAGGGTGATATCTGGAAAATAAAATTAAGGGGTGAGAGAGGATTATACTGGGAGAAGGAGACAGGGAGAAGTAGAACAGGGTAAATTATCTCACATGAAACAGACAAGAAAAGGCTTTTACAGTGGAGGGGAAATGGGGGAAGGTGATAAGGAATGAGTGAATCTTGTTCTCATAGGATTTGGCTTAAGGAGGGAATAACATACACAATGGGGTATGGAAATCTATTTTACCCCACAGGAAAATAAGGGGGAAAGGGGACAAGAGAGCAGGGAGCTGATAGAGGGGAGGGCAGATTGGAGGAGGGGATAATGAAAAGCAAACGCTTCTGAGGAGGGACAGGGTGAAAAGAGAGAATAGAATAAATGGGGAGTAGGATAGGATGAAGGGAAATATACTTAGTTTTTCACAACATGACTACTATGGAAGTGTTTTGCATGACTACACATCTATAACCTGTATCAAGATGCTTGCCTTTTCAATGAGGGTAGGTGGGGAGGGAGGAAGGGAGAAAATTTGTAACCCAAAGTTTTAAAAACATGTTAAAAATAAAAAAAAATAAAAATGTTTGAGTAGAAAAAAAAAGAGACACAAGTATGTCTACACCAGGTGCTGGGAATATAAAGACAAAAATGAAAGAGTTCTTGCTTTCTATACATTCTATTGGAGAGACATGTACAGATATAACTATATAATACATAATAAGTACAAGGTAATTCTATAAAGGGAAGGTACTAGCAGCTGGGGAAGAGATCAGAAAAAGCTTCATTTAGAAAGCTATACTTGATCTTAGTTTTGAAGGAAATAAGGAATTTTCAGATGCACAGGTGAGGAAGGATGTACCTCAGGCAAAATGAACATCCAGTACAAGTGTACAGAGATGGGAGATGGGGGAGCATGTGAGGAACAGCAGGAATGCTGGTTTGGCTGGACTACAGAGTGAGTGAAGAGAAGTAATGTAATAATAATAATAATAATAATATAATATATAATATAATAATACAAATATATAACAATATAATAATAGTATAATAATATAATAAAACTCAAAAGGTAGATTGGGGCCAGGTTGTGAAGGTTTTAAGCAACAAAGCAAGATGTTTACATTTAATCTTAGAGGTAACATGGAGCTACTAGTCTTCATTAAGTAGGGGAGTAACCTAATCATACTTCTGCTTTAGGAAAATCACTTTGGCTGTGTGGAATCCCTAACTGAAGTTAGGCAGAGATTTGAGATTGAGAAATCAATCAGAAGTTCTACTGCAATAATTTAGGCAAGAGGTGATGAGGATCTGAACAAAGGTGATGGCCATGTAATTAGAGAGAAGAGGAGAGATGCAAGAGTCATAGGGGAAGAATTGACAAGACTTGGCAAATGGGGTTGTGAGCCTATGTAACCAGAATACAGAAGTTAGGAAGAGGGGTGAGTTCTGGGGGAGAAAATAAATTCTAGGGGCAGCTAGGTAGCGCAGTGGATAGAGCACCAGCCCTGGAGTCAGGAGGACCTGAGTTCAAATCCGGCCTCAGACACATAACACTTACTAGCTGTGTGACCTTGGGCAAGTCACTTAACCCTCATTGCCTCACCAACAAAAAACAAAACAAAACGGGAAAAAAAAAGAATAATGCTCATTTCTTTCTTGGGGCAGCTAGGCAGCGCAGTGGATAGAGCACTGGCCTTGGATTCAGGAGGACCTGAGTTCCAATTCGGCCTCAGACATATAACACTTACTAGCTGTGTGACCCTGGGCAAGTCACTTAACCCCATTGCCTAGCAAAAAAAAAAAAAAAGAAAAGAAAAAAAGAAAATGAGTTCTATTCTGGACATGTAGAGTATGAGATGGCTACTGTATGTTCAGCTGGAAACGTCTAATAAGCCTGGTCTCTCTTGATTCCTGGCTCTCCTTTTCCAAACAACATGCTGCTAGATTAATCTTCCATAAGCATCACTTTCATCATGTTAATTTCCCACTTAAAACCAACGGATCCCTATTTATATAAAAATCTAAACTCCTGTCTGGCTTTTGAGACTCCATCCAAACAATCTTGTCTTATCTTCCACTAATTGCCAACATGTACCTTTGCTTCCAGCCAGGTTAATTTCCCCTATGTCTCACTAATAAGAAGCTCATTCCTGTATATATAGAGCCTGCATCAGATTTCGAGTCGTCTTGGGGAGGGAGGGGGAGAAAAATTTAAAACTCAAAAGCTTATGGAAGTGATTGTTGATAAGTCAAAATAAGTTAATTTTAAAAAAAAGCAGCTCATTCCCATTTCCTTGTTGAAACCTTCCTTGACCATTCAGCCCTCACCAACATCCCTCTATTTGGAACTCCTACAACACTTTCTATATGTAAGAAACTACTCAGCACATAATTGCATCGTCTTCTGCTGTTCAATATTGTTTGGTGTGTATTAGTTTTGTCTCTCCAACTACAGGGCAAGAAAAGTGTCTTATTCCTACTGTATGCCTCCTTCCCCAACTCCACCCGTACCTAGCAAACAGTAAGAGCTGAATCCTTGCTGAATTGAACTGAACCAACTCTCTGACCATTCATTCGTTCATCTCTGTGAAGAAATCAGTTCTTGAATTTTGCAGGAGAGTAGAGAGAGTGGGAAAGTGTATACAGGAAACTTAAAAGCCTAGAATGGAACTGTCTTCACAGAAATATCAAGACAGCATCCTCCTTTGTCCTCCATAGAAACCAGACTTGTCACCTGGAATCAAGGAACAGGGACCTCCGTCTCTGGTCTCAAAGAAATATGAGTCAGTTTTGATCTCTAAGTCATAGGTTGGAGGAACACTTTAGAGACTCCATAGTAACCAATTACTTGGGAAGAGGCCAGAAGATCCCAAAGGAAATATTCTAAGTCACAAGGAAGAAGGAGAGGGACAGAAAGTTCTTACCCAGGGAGACCATGTTCCCATAATTCTCCAACATCACATCCCTGTAAAGGGCTCCCTGAATGGAGTCCAGCTTCTTTACTTCCTCCCCAGTGAAGTATATAGCAACATCCTCAAATGTCACCAATGCCTGAAGTTCAAAAGGAATTTATTAGTGTCAATTGTATTCCTTATGGATAATTCACTTGCTTGTCCCTTAGGGACAAACTCACATAGATAAAGCAATTAGAAGATGTATGTATGTATGTGTGTCTTTGTGTGTGTGTGTATGTGTGTGTGTGTGTGAGAGAGAGAGAGAGAGAGAGAGATACAGATAGACAGCTTGGCGGGGGGAAGTTCCTAACCCCAGCTAACTTGCTGGACAATGGGTCTCTCATCTAGTTGTCCCAATTCTTCTTTTGCACAAGATGTTTCTCGGGCAGCTAGGTGGCATAGTGGATAGAGCACTGGCCTTGGAATCAGGAAGACTCGTCTTCATGGATTCAAATCAGGCCTCAGATACTTACTGGCTTTGTGATCCTGGGCAAGTCACTTAACTCTGTTTACCTCAGTTTCCTCATCTGCAAAATGAGCTGGAGAAGGAAACGGCAAACCACTCCAATATCTCTCCCAAGAAAACCCCAAATGGAGTCATGGAGAATTGGACGTGACTGAACAACAACCAAAGTTTCTGGGAGGAAAAGAATTCAAGTCACTATCCTCACCAGTTTCTGCATATGGAACTTCTAATTCTGAGGGGTAGGAATTAGCCACAGATTCTAAAATGCTCCCATCCCCTACAAATGACACTCTTTCCCCATTCCTCATCCTTCTCGAAAACGAGCATACAAGTTAGAGAGGTCAGGAAATAAAACTATGGCCAAAGATGGAAAGAAATCATTCATTTCTAAATATAAATTTTGATAAAGAGAAGGTTATTTCATTAAAAGAAATTTAGGGTTACTCAACCACAGTAGTTGAGTAAAAAAAGCAATGAACTTGGGGGTCAGAAGATTTGGTTTTGAATCCTGTCACTTACTTGTCATAGATTAATATAGAACTTAAAATTGAAAGAGATCTCAGAGGTCATTTAGCCCAACCCTCTCATTTTACAGATTAGTGAACCTCTGAAGATCAAAGAAAAGTAGTAACTTGCTCAATGTCTCACAGGAAGTAAGCAGAGGAACCACGGTTCAAACCCAGGTTTCTACTGCACATCTAAGCACTTCTTAGGCAAATCACTTCATTTCCCCAAGCCTCACTTTCCTAATTTGTATAATGGAGTTAATATTTGCACAGCTATTGTGAAGATCCAATGACGACCATATATATGGCACTTTACAAAGTACTATGTCTGCTATTGATACTTTTCACTTAAGCTTCAAACCAGTTTGTGGCAACTACTATAGAATGAAGAGGAGAGCCCTTAAGCTATTTTTCTCTCAGTAGCACCATAATGGTGACAACCTACGATGCCACCAGATAAATCCCAAACTCAAACTTTTTTCAAATATGGTATGTCCGAGAAAAGCTAACTAGGCAGCACAGTGGACGGAGTGCTGGACTTGGATAGAGAAAGACCCAAGTGCCTCAGACCATTTTTGATCATTTTTGCAAACCATTTGAGCCCTCTCTCAGCATTACTTCATAGAATTGTGGTTAAGAATCGGTGATATGACGTCTGTAAAGGCTTGCAAATTTTAACAGTGTTATATAAATGCTAATATTATTCAGAGATGGGGAGGGTTGTCTAGGTCTGTAATCCAAAGAAGGGTCCATTAATACAGACGATATGGAGTGAGAAAACAAAGATGAATAGGAAGATGGTTCTTAAGGCAGAAGTTCTTAATTTGGATTCCGTTAATTTTTTAAAAAATATATTTTGAGAACTGTACTTCAATATCATCGACTTCCTTTGCGACCGAGCTTATGCATTTAAGAGCACCCTGAGACGGGCTGTACTAGACGCATAAGGATCCACGAACCAAAAAGGTCAAGCCCCGGATCCTGAGAGGGAGCGGTCTACACCGCCTTCCTCCGCCAGCAGGTAGAACCCAGGCTGCTGCGGGGGAGGCCTTGAGTCCGGCCTCCTTCTCCTGCCGGGGGTTTGCGGGGTCCAGGAGAGGCCCTCTGGAGGGACGGCTCATCTGGGAACCCGCCACAGGGCACACAGCTGCCATCACCCGAACTCCTGGGTGCACTGGGGGACGGGCAGGCGGGGCTGGGGAGGCCCGAGCTCCGGCCCTGGAGCATCGTCAGCCCCGCAGCCTGGGCAGCAGCCTCACGCATTCCCAGCAGCCGCAGCCACTCTGGAAGCCCGAGGGCGAGCGCCAGACTGGGGCCCAGCAGCGCGCAGGCTTTTCGCTATCCGGGGCGGATGGCGCCCTCTCCCGTACCGACAGGAGCTAGGCCCACCCTCATACTCCGGAAGCGAAGCCAGGACCTCCACTGGAAGTGCGTCTCGGCCGCTCCGGCTCACAAATTATCCGCTTCCCCACCCGCGGCCTCTCTAGGATGCTTGGAGGACTCATCGTCTTAGTGGTTCAAACATTCCACAGCAAGCAGGGATGGTGAGCGTGATTGACAGTCACCTACCTCTCCCTATCTATCCGTGAGACCTATCCGTGACCCGCCTGTCAAGTAAACAAAAAGCATTTATTAAGCACCTATTATATGCCAGGCATATATGCTAGAGATAAAAAGAAAAGGCACAAACTATGTTTTTTACACGACATTAATTTCTACATATATCCCTTTCCTCCTTCCCTCCTTAATGGACCATCTCTAGCAATAGAATAAAAAAGACAGAGGGAGACCAAAAAAAAAACATATGAGCAAAACTAATCACATCAACTGAGACTGACAGTATATACAATGTTGAACATCCACAGTCTCCCACCTCTGCAGAGGTGGGGGGGGGGGAAGGAGGAAGATACATTTTCTCATTGATTTTTCAGAGCCAAGCTTGGTCATAATAATTACTTAGCCTTTAGATTTGGGTTTTTGTAGTTTTTCCCATTTACAACATTGTAGTCATCGTGTATATTGTTATCCTAGCTCTACCCATCTTATTCTACATTAGTCAATACGTTAAATTGCATAGGAAAAGGTGGGGATGATGCCCACGTAAGTTATAAGGGGTTCGGGGTGGCTAGGACAGGGTAGAGATTTGGTTCCCTCTCTGTCAGCTAGGTTAACATAGTCATACGATGTAATTACAGTTGACTATGGTTCCATGATCTTAGTGGTAATAAGGTGTTAACAACCAGCCTGGATTCTGACCAGGTCTAGAAACTCCCTTTCTCCTCCTACCTGTGACCTTCCTGTATTCCACTCTTAGAGAAGGCATTTTCTGTGCATGCATAGAGGGAACAACAAAAGAGGAGATTTGGTCTACAACTCAGCCTCCTCTTTGATATCAGTGATTGACTCTGCCAAGGGAAGGGAACCAGATCCAGTTTTATCAACTTTAGGAAATTTATAATAATTAATAAATCAATATCAATAAGATTTTCTCTCTTACCTTAAGACCCTAGCCAGGATAGATACCTGACACTTTGGACTCATTGTCTGAACCTTAGTCCTTTGATCTTTCTATAATGGTATCTCAAAAATCTTGGTTTAGTTTTAAGCTTTACGACAGTCATTGACCACTTTTTCTTCCTGCTTCTCCTTTATAGACAATGAAACCCCAAACCAGGAAGTAAGAACCATCCTTTATCTCAAATTAATCAGATTTAGTATTGATTAAAGCATCAATTAAACAATTTAAAGAACAGAAAACTAGACTAGTTGTCCGTCCTACCAGTCAGAAAAGAAGCAGGAAAGGGGAAAAAGCACTTCACTATCTGCATGAATTCATGATCATGGAAAGTTCATCACCAATTTGAAAAAACCCACACTCTGGCTTCAACTATCCTGTCTTCCTCAGTGTATGAAAGTACCATCATCCATGATGGATCACTCAACATTTTTTTTTTCCTTTCTGCTAATGGGAAACTTGCTCTTGTCTACCAAGCCTAGGTTCGTGGATTCAATATGCCTCAATTGAAATTTAAACTTCCAAATGGAATCAGTGTATGCTTTTCCTCCCCTTAGCCTTTAGCCGCACTGAAGTGGGAATGGATCTCCTACCCCTAGTCTAAAGAGATCCCAAACCTTTACCGACACATTAAACACGCCAGGTGAAAATCTGGTGGATGCTAGATTTTTTTTTATGTCAAAATGGGGTGATAGATTTGTATGATATATGTGTATTGATCTATCAGTATATATGTGTATATACATATATACATACAGAGAGAGAGAGAGAACGAATAATGGTAAGTTATTGAAGAACAAATCATTTGTAAGGGAATGGCAACCTGAACTGCCACTAATGAGAGATAGGATCAGCCTCTTCCCCAGAGCTTACTCCTCCCTTAAAAGGAGAAGAAATCATCTACCAGATTAATGTACACATGAACTTTGCGTTAATTCTTCTTTAAGAGTGAGGCCAATGCTCATTTCTCAAATATATAGAGAACTGAATCAAATTTATAAGAATACAAGTTATTCCCCAAATTAATAAATGGTCAAAGGATATGAACAAGCACTTTTCAGATGAATAAATTAAAGCTATCTATAGTCATATGAAAAAATGCTCTAAATCACTATTGATTAGAGAAATGAAAATTAAAACAACTTTTGAGGTACTACTTCACACCTATCAGATTGGCTTATGAAAATGATAATTGTTGAAGAAGATGTGGGGAAATTGGAACACTAATGCATTGTTGGTGGAGTTGTGAACTGATCCAACCATTTAGGAGAGCAATTTGGAACTATGCCCAAAGGGCTATAAACTCTGTATACCCTTTGATTCAGCAATACCACTGCTAGGTCTGTATCCCAAAGAGATCATAAAAAAGGGGACAGGACCCACATGTACAAAAATATGTATAGCAGGTCTTTGGGTGGTGGCAAAGAATTGGAAATTGAGGGGATTTCTCTCAATTGGGGAATGGCTGAATAAGTTGTGGTATATGAATGTAATGGAATACTATTGTTTCATAAGAAATGATGAGCAGTCAGATTGCAGAAAAACCTGGAAAGATTTACATGAACTGATGCTGAGTGAAGTGAACAGAACCAGGAGAACATTGTACACAGTAACAGCAACATTGTGAAATGATCAACTATGATACACTTAGCTCTTCTCAACAATACAATGATTCAAGACAATTCCAAAAGACTCATGATGGAAGATGCTACCCACATCCAGAGAAAGAACTATTGAGTCTGAATGCAGATTGAAGCTACTATTTTCACTTTTTTGTTTTTTTGGTTTTTGTTTTGTTTTTTTTTGGTAGTTTTTCCCTTTTGTTTTGATTCTTTCACAACATGACTAATGTGGAAATGTTTAACATGATTACACATCTATAACCTATATCAGATTTCTTGCTGTCTTGGGGGGAAGGGAGGGAAGGTAGGGAGGGAGAAAATTTTTGGAACTCAAAATCTTATAAAAGTGAATGTTGAAAACTATCTTTACATGGAATTGGAAAAAATAAAATACTATTAAGTGAAAAAAAAAGAATGAGGCAAATGAAGGGAAAAGCAAAGTTCCTTCTGGCTGCTCTGTAGTCTCACCATCATGTACTTTCAGTTCTCAGCTGGGGATGGAGGCTATAGGAAAGGTCACTCCTCATCTTTGATTACCATCATCTATGAATGGAGTTCATCAGGTAGAGAAGAAAAGGGAAGGGAGATGGTATCTGGAGAATGGAAACTCTACTTAATCCTGCTTGAGTTTTCTCTCATGTTGTGAGGAGCAAGAATGGCTACTTTTCCAGGTTTCTCAATTCTTTCTCCTCAAAGCCTCCAAAAACATAGTCTCAGAAATCCATATTCAAAGACCTTACCAACTGGTGAGCTCTGGAGTAGTCTCTGTTTTTCTCTCTCATCTCCATAGCAGCACTCAGACCACAGGTGCTGCACAAATACACCTTCCCATGCTTCTATGAATTCTTCAGATTCATAATTTCTTATGATGCAATAATATTTCATTATATTTATGGGTAACAAAGGAATGCCCAATGAGTCCAGTCCTTGTGGGCATAGAAGGCAATCCTTCATGTGGAATGGATGTGTTATGCCCCTGGTGTGTGTGTGTGTGTGTGTGTGTGTGTGTGTGTGTGTGTGTGCGCCTTCTCTCCACTGATACTGCCACCACCCTGGTACAGGCCCTCATTAGTATACCTAGATTATTGCAATGGCCTTCTGGCTGGTCAAACTGGAAAAAAGAAATGGAAGATATTCCAGACACAGGCCTGCCTAAGCAAAGGTGGGGAGGTGAGAAAACAATGCATATTCAGGAGACAGAGAGTTGTCCAATATGGCTGAAACACAGAATGCAGAGAGCAATATAAGATTAGGGCTGCAAAGGTTAGGTGATTCCAGTTACAGAGATAAGGACCTCCAATTACCAGACTTTTAACTTTTTTTGGAGGTGGTAGGAGGCTAGTGAAGATTTTAGAACAAAAGGGTAAGGACCAGATCTCTGCATAAAATTGATTATTCTCACAGTGATATCATTAGTGAGAGGAGAGAGTTCCATATTAGTTATGTTGTAAGAGAAAACACAGACCAAAAAACCCACTGAAAAATAAAGCAAGTGAAAAATAGTATGCTTCAATTTGCATTCAGACTCCGTAATTTCTTTCTCTGGAGGTGGATAGCATTTTTCACGATGAGTCCTTTGGAATTGTCTTGGATCATTGTATTGCTAAGAATAGCTAGGTCATTCACAGTTGATCATCATACAATATTGCTGTTACTGTGTACAATGTTCTCCTGGTTCTGCTCACTTCACTCAGCATCAGTTCATGTAAATCTTTCTAGGTTTTCCTGCAATCTGCCTGCTCATCATTTCTTATGGAACAGTAGTATTCCATTACAATCATATACCACAACTTGTTCAGCCATTCCCCAATTGATGGAAATCCCCTCAATTTCCAATTCTTTGCCAGCACTAAAAGACATGCTATAAATATTTTCATACAAATAGATCCTTTCCCCTTTTTTGGATCTCTTTGAGATACAGACATAGTTGGGTTTTGCTGGATCAAAGGGTATGCAAAATTTTGGACATAGTTCCAAATTGCTCTCCAGAATGGTTGGATTAGTTCACAGCTCCACCAACAGTGTATTAGTGTCCCAGCTTTCCCATATCTTCTCCAACATTTCTCATTTTCCTTTTCTGTCATATTAGCTAATCTGATAGGTATGATGAGGTGGTACCTTAAAGTTGTTTTAATTTACATTTCTTTAATTAATAGTGATTTAAAACGTTCTTTCATATATAGATAGCTTTGATTTCATCATCTGAAAACTGCCTGTTCATATCCTTTGACCACTTATCAATTGGGGAATGAATTGTATCCTATAAACTTATACATCTTATAATTATATTAAAATTATATATTATTATGTATATAATATGTATATTTGATAAATGAGACCTTTATCAGAGACACTTGCTGTAAAAATT